CACTACAACACAGAGATGGAGGTGCGTTTCGAGTCGACTCACAAGTCACGTGAGGCAGAGCGACAAGGGCACCGAGATGGAGAGGTGCGTGGGGCTCAATACAACACAGAGATGGAGGTGCGTTTCGAGTCGACTCACAAGTCACGTGAGGCAGAGCGACAAGGGCACCGAGATGGAGAGGTGCGTGGGGCTCAATACAACACAGAGATGGAGGTGCGTTTCGAGTCGACTCACAAGTCACGTGAGGCAGAGCGACAAGGGCACCGAGATGGAGAGGTGCGTGGGGCTCAATACAACACAGAGATGGAGGTGCGTTTCGAGTCGACTCACAAGTCACGTGAGGCAGAGCGACAAGGGCACCGAGATGGAGAGGTGCGTGGGGCTCACTACGACACAGAGATGGAGGTGCGTTTCGAGTCGACTCACAAGGTACGTGAGGCAGAGCGACAAGGGCACCGAGATGGAGAGGTGCGTGGGGCTCACTACGACACAGAGATGGAGGTGCGCTTCGAGTCGACTCACAAGGTACGTGAGGCAGAGCGACAAGGGCACGGAGATGGAGAGGTGCGTGGGGCTCACTACGACACAGAGATGGAGGTGCGCTTCGAGTCGACTCACAAGGTACGTGAGGCAGAGCGACAAGGGCACGGAGATGGAGAGGTGCGTGGGGCTCACTACGACACAGAGATGGAGGTGCGCTTCGAGTCGACTCACAAGGTACGTGAGGCAGAGCGACAAGGGCACGGAGATGGAGAGGTGCGTGGGGCTCACTACGACACAGAGATGGAGGTGCGCTTCGAGTCGACTCACAAGGTACGTGAGGCAGAGCGACAAGGGCACGGAGATGGAGAGGTGCGTGGGGCTCACTACGACACAGAGATGGAGGTGCGCTTCGAGTCGACTCACAAGGTACGTGAGGCAGAGCGACAAGGGCACGGAGATGGAGAGGTGCGTGGGGCTCACTACGACACAGAGATGGAGGTGCGCTTCGAGTCGACTCACAAGGTACGTGAGGCAGAGCGACAAGGGCACGGAGATGGAGAGGTGCGTGGGGCTCACTACGACACAGAGATGGAGGTGCGCTTCGAGTCGACTCACAAGGTACGTGAGGCAGAGCGACAAGGGCACGGAGATGGAGAGGTGCGTGGGGCTCACTACGACACAGAGATGGAGGTGCGCTTCGAGTCGACTCACAAGGTACGTGAGGCAGAGCGACAAGGGCACGGAGATGGAGAGGTGCGTGGGGCTCACTACGACACAGAGATGGAGGTGCGCTTCGAGTCGACTCACAAGGTACGTGAGGCAGAGCGACAAGGGCACGGAGATGGAGAGGTGCGTGGGGCTCACTACGACACAGAGATGGAGGTGCGCTTCGAGTCGACTCACAAGGTACGTGAGGCAGAGCGACAAGGGCACGGAGATGGAGAGGTGCGTGGGGCTCACTACGACACAGAGATGGAGGTGCGCTTCGAGTCGACTCACAAGTCACGTGAGGCAGAGCGACAAGGGCACCGAGATGGAGAGGTGCGTGGGACTCAATACAACACAGAGATGGAGGTGCGCTTCGAGTCGACTCACAAGTCACGTGAGGCAGAGCGACAACGGCACGGAGATGGAGAGGTGCGTGGGGCTCAATACAGCACAGAGATGGAGGTGCGCTTTGAGTCGACTCACAAGTCACGTGAGGCAGAGCGACAAGGGCACTGAGATGGAGAGGTGCGTGGGGCTCAATACAGCACAGAGATGGAGGTGCGCTTTGAGTCGACTCACAAGTCACGTGAAGCAGAGCGACAAGGGCACTCGGATGGAGAGGTGCGTGGGGCTCAATACAGCACAGAGATGGAGGTGCGCTTTGAGTCGACTCACAAGTCACGTGAGGCAGAGCGACTGGTAGGTGTATTTGAGCGAGGGCCACCCAAATATGCAACAACATTCAGGTTATTTGATGCTTCCCCCCACGCCTATAGGGATCCAAGCGCTTCGTTACCATTTCTCGGCAGACATAGCCGTCATCGCAGGTGCCGAACTTTTTGGTGCGCACAAACAAAACTGAACTTGCTCTGGTAGGTGTATTTGTGCATGGTTCACCCGAATATGCAACAACATTCAGGTCATTTGATGCTTTTCCCTACGCCTATAGGGATTCATGCGCTTCGTTACCATTTGTCGGCAGACACCGCCGTCATCGCAGGCGCCGAACTTATTGGTGCGCACAAACAAAGCTAAACTTGCTTTGGTAGGTGTATTTGAGCATGAGCCACCCGAATATGCAACAACATTTAGGTCATTCGATGCTTTTCCCTACGCCTATAGGGATCCATGCGCTTCGTTACCATTTGTCGGCAGATACAGACGTCATCTCAGGCGCCGAATTTTCTGGTGCGCACAAACAAAGCTGAACTTGCTCTGGTAGGTATATTTGAGCATGGGCCACCCAAATATGCAACAACATTCAGGTCATTCGATGCTTTCCCCTACGCATTTAGGGATCCATGCGTTTCGTTACTATTTTTTTGGCAGACACAGCCGTCATCGCAGGCGCCGAACTTATTGGTGCGCACAAACTAAGCTAAAGTTGCTTTGGTAGGTTGGTCAGTTTAGTACAAGTCGGAGCTAGAGCTCTGAAATCTTGCAAATTATGTGGATCTTAAAGGTTATAACCTAGTGCTGTTAAAGTAGATGGCCTAATCTAGTTGACTGACAAGAAAATGGTACTAACCGCATCTCTACAAACATACGTAATGCGCTGGTCAAGTTGGTCGGTATGCGCGCCTGTAGTGCAGGTACCATGCACGACTAGAATGCCTACTTTTGGCGAATTACATAGATCCAAAAGGTTAGAGCCTATTAGAGGGGTGTGGAATGGTATACTGTTAAGGAAATGCAAAACATATATGGTATTCACTGTATTTATACAGAGAGAATGATGCGTGGGTCGGTTCGGGAAGTATCCACGTTTGTGTGCAGGTACAATGTGGAGCTGGAGCTCTGAAATATTGCAAATTATGTGGATCTAAAAGGTTATAACCTAGTGTTGTTAAAGTAGATGGCCTGACCTAGTGGACTAACAAGAAAATGGTATTAACCGCATCTCTACAAACATACGAAATGCGCTGGTCAAGTTGGTCGGTATGCGCGTCTGTAGTGCAGGTACCATGCACGACCAAAATGCCTGTTTTTGGCGAATTACATAGATCCAAAAGGTTAGAACTTATTAGAGGGGTGGAGAATGGTATACTGTAAAGGAAGAGCGAAACATATGTGGTATTCGCTGTATATATACAGCAAAAATGATACGTGGGTCAGTTCGGGTAGTATGACGTTTGTGTGCAGGTACAAGGCGGAGCAGGAGCTCTGACATATCTTAAATTATGTGAATCTAAAAGGTTAGAACCTAGTATTGTTAAAGTAGATGTCCTAATCTAGTGGACTGGCAAGAACATGGTACTAACTGCATCTCTATAAACATACGTAATGCGCTGGTCAGTTTGGTCAGTTTGGTACAAGTCGGAGCTGGAGCTCTGAAATCTTGCAAATTATGTGGATCTTAAAGGTTAGAACCTAGTGTTGTTAAAGTAGATGGCCTAATCTAGTTGACTGACAATAACGTGGTACCGCATCTTTACAAACATACGTAATGCGCTGGTCAAGTTGGTCGGTATGCGCGCCTGTAGTGCAGGTACCATGCACGACTAGAATGCCTACTTTTGGCGAATTTCATAGATCCAAAAGGTTAGAGCCTATTAGAGGGGTGTGGAATGGTATACTGTAAAGGAAATGCAAAACATATGTGGTATTCACTGTATTTATACAGAGAGAATGATGCGTGGGTCGGTTCAGGAAGTATGCACGTTTGTGTGCAGGTAAAAGGTGGAGCTGGAGCTCTGAAATATTGCAAATTATGTGGATCTTAAAGGTTAGAACCTAGTGTTGTTAAAGTAGATGGCCTAACCTAGTGGACTAACAAGAAAATGGTACTAACCGCATCTCTACAAACATACGAAATGCGCTGGTCAAGTTGGTCGGTATGCGCGCCTGTAGTGCAGGTACCATGCACGACCAAAATGCCTGTTTTTTGCGAATTACATAGATCCAAAAGGTTAAAACTTATTAGAGGGGTGGAGAATGGTATACTGTAAAGGAAGAGCGAAACATATGTGGTATTTGCTATATTTATACAGAGAAAATGATACGTGGTTCAGTTCGGGTAGTATGACATTTGTGTGCAGGTACAAGGCGGAGCAGGAGCTCTGACATATCTATAATTATGTAAATCTAAAAGGTTAGAACCTAGTATTTTTAAAGTAGATGTCCCATTCTCCCGCTTTCCATCACCCCGCCCCATTCTCCCGCTTTCCATCACCCCGCCCCATTCTCCCTCTTTCCATCACCCCACCCCATTCTCCCGCTTTCCATCATCCCGCCCCATTCTCCCTCTTTCCATCACCCCGCCCCATTCTCCCTCTTTCAATCACCCCGCCCCATTCTCCCACTTTCCATCCCCCCGCCCCATTCCCCCTCTTTCCACCACCCCGCCCCATTCTCCCTCTTTCCATCACCCCGCCCTATTCTCCCGCTTTCCATCGCCCCACCCCATTCTTCCGCTTTCCATCGCCCTGCCTCATTCTTCCTCTTTCCATCGCCCCGCCCCATTCTCCCTCTTTCCATCACCCTGCCCCATTCTCCCTCTTTCCATCACCCCGCCCCATTCTCCTGTTTTCCGTCACCCCGCCCCATTCTCCCTCTTTCCATCACCCATTCCCATTCCCCTTCTTTCAAACACCCCGCCCCATTATCCCGCTTTCCATCACCCAGCCCCATTCTCCCTATTTCCATCACCCAGCCCCATTCTCCCTCTTCCCATCATGCAGCCCCATTCTCCCTCTTTCCATCACCCCGCCCCATTCTCCCTCTTTCCATCACCCAGCTTCATTCTCCCGCTTTCCATTACCCCGCCCCATTCTCCCGCTTTCCATCGACCCGCCCCATTCTTCCGCTTTCTATCGCCCTGCCCCATTCTCCCTCTTTCCATCACCCCGCCCCATTCTCACACTTTCCATCACCCCGCCCCGGTGATGGAAAGTGGGAGAATGGGTCGGGGTGATTGAAAGAGGGAGAATGGGGCAGGGTGATGGAAAGAGGGAGAATGGGGCGGGATGATGGAAAGCGGGAGAATGGGGTGGGGTGATGGAAAGAGGGAGAATGGGGCGGGGTGATGGAAAGCGGGAGAATGGGGCGGGGTGATGGAAAGCGGGAGAATGGGGCGAGGTGATGGAAAGTAGGAGAATGGGGCGGGGTGATGGAAAGAGGGAGAACGGGGCAGGGTGATGGAAAGAGGGAGAATGGGACAGGGTGATGGAAAGAGGGAGTATGTGGCTGGGTGATGGAAAGAGGGAGAATGGGGCGGGGTGATGGAAAGAGGGAGAATAGGGCGGGGTGATGGAAAGAGGGAGAATGGGGCGGGGTGATGGAAAGCGGGAGAAATGGGCTGGGTGATGGAAAGAGGGAGAATGGGGCGGGGTGATTGAAAGAGGGAGAATGGGGCTGGGTGATGGAAAGCGGGAGAATGGGGCGGGGTGATGGAAAGAGGGAGAATGTGGCGGAGTGATGGAAAGTGGGAGAATGGGGCGGGGTGATGGAAAGCGGGAGAATGGGGCGGGGTGTTGGAAAGAGGGAGAATGGGGTTGGGTGATGGAAAGAGGGAGAATGGGGTGGGGTGATGGAAAGCGGGAGAAATGGGCGGGGTGATGGAAAGCGGGAGAATGGGGCGGAGTGATGGAAAGCGGGAGAATGGGGCGGGGTGATGGAAAGAGGGAGAATGGGGCGGGGTGATGGAAAGCGGGAGAATGGGGCGGGGCGATGGAAAGCGGGAGAATGGGGCGGGGCGATGGAAAGCGGGAGAATGGGGTGGGGTGATGGAAAGCGGGAGAATGGGGCGGGGTGATGGAAAGCGGGTGAATGGGGCTGGGTGATGGAAAGCGGGAGAACGGGGCGGGGTGATGGAAAGAGGGAGAATGGGGCAGGGTGATGGAAAGCGGGAGATCGGGGCGGGGTGATGGAAAGCGGGAGATTGGGGCGGGGTGATGGAAAGCGGGAGAACGGGGCGGGTGATGGAAAGCGGGAGAACGGGGCGGGGAGATGGAAAGCAGGAGAATGGGGCGGGGTGATGGAAAGAGGGAGAATGGGTCGGGGTGATGGAAAGCGGGAGAATGGGGTGGGGTGATGGAAAGAGGGACAATCAGGCGGGGTGATGGAAAGCGGGAGAATGGGGCAGGGTGATGGAAAGCGGGAGAATGGGGCGGGGTGATGAAAAGCGGGAGAATGGGGCGGGGTGATGGAAAGCGGGAGAATGGGGCGGGGTTATGGAAAGAGGGAAAATGGGGCGGGGTGATGGAAAGCGGGAGAATGGGGCGGGGTGATGGAAAGAGAGAGAATGGGGCGGCGTAATGGAAAACGGGAGAATGGGGCGGGGTGATGGAAAGAGGGAGAATGGGGCAGGGTGATGGAAGGAGGGAGAATGCGGCGGGGTGATGGAAAGCGGGAGAATGGGGCGGGGTGATGGAAAGCGGGAGAACGGGGCGGGGTGTTGGTTTGCGGGAGAACGGGGCGGGGAGATGGAAAGCAGGAGAATGGGGCGGGGTGATGGAAAGAGGGAGAATGGGTCGGGGTGATGGAAAGCGGGAGAATGGGGCGGGGTGATGGAAAGAGGGACAATGAGGCGTGGTGATGGAAAGCGGGAGAATGGGGCAGGGTGATGGAAAGCGGGAGAATGGGGCGGGGTGATGGAAAGCGGGAGAATGGGGCGGGGTGATGGAAAGCGGGAGAATGGGGCGGGGTGATGGAAAGAGGGAGAATGGTGCGGGGTGATGGAAAGCGGGAGAATGGGGCGGGGTGATGGAAAGAGGGAGAATGGGGCGGCGTGATGGAAAGCGGGAGAATGGGGCTGGGTGATGGAAAGAGGGAGAATGGGGCGGGGTGATGTAAAGAGGGAGAATGGGGCGGGGTGATGGAAAGCGGGAGATCGCGGCGGGGTGATGTAAAGCGGGAGAACGGGGCGGGGTGATGGAAAGCGGGAAAACAGGGCGGGGTGATGGAAAGCGGGAGAACGGGTCGGGGTGATGGAAAGCGGGAGAACGGGTCGGGGTGATGGAAAGTGGGAGAACGGGGCGGGGTGATCGAAAGCGGGAGAACGGGGCGGGGTGATGGAAAGGGGGAGAATGGGGCGGGGTGATGGAAAGCGGGAGAATGGGGCGGGGTGATGGAAAGAGGGAATATAGGGCGGGGTGATGGAAAGAGGGAGAATGGGGCGGGGTGATGGAAAGAGGGAGAAATGGGCTGGGTGATAAATGGAAAGAGGGAGAATAGGGCAGGGTGGTGGAAAGAGGGAGAATGGGACCGGGTGATGGAAAGCGGGAGAATGGGGCGGGGTGATGGAAAGCAAGAGAATGGGGCGGGGTGATGGAAAGCGGGAAAATGGGGCGGGGTGATGGAAAGCGGGAGAAGGGGCGGGGTGATGGAAAGAGGGAGAATGGGGCGGGGTGATGGAAAGAGGGAGAATGGGGCGGGGTGATGCAAGAGGGAGAATGGTGCGGCGTGATGGAAAGCGGGAGAATGGGGCTGGGTGATGGAAAGAGGGAGAATGGGGCGGGGTGATGTAAAGAGGGAGAATGGGGCGGGGTGATGGAAAGCAGGAGATCGCGGCGGGGTGATGTAAAGCGGGAGAACGGGGCGGGGTGATGGAAAGCGGGAGAAAAGGGCGGGGTGATGGAAAGCGGGAGAACGGGGCGGGGTGATGGAAAGCGGGAGAATGGGGCGGGGTGATGGAAGGAGGGAGAATACGGCGGGGTGATGGAAAGCGGGAGAATGGGGCGGGGTGATGGAAAGCGGGAGAACGGGGCGGGGTGATGGAAAGCGGGAGAATGGGGCGGGATGATGGAAAGCGGGAGAATGGGGTGGGGTTATGGAAAGAGGGAGAATGGGGCGGGGTGATGGAAAGCGGGAGAATGGGGCGGGGTGATGGAAAGCGGGAGAATGGGGCGAGGTGATGGAAAGTAGGAGAATGGGGCGGGGTGATGGAAAGAGGGAGAACGGGGCAGGGTGATGGAAAGAGGGAGAATGGGACAGGGTGATGGAAAGAGGGAGTATGTGGCTGGGTGATGGAAAGAGGGAGAATGGGGCGGGGTGATGGAAAGCGGGAGAATGGGGCGGGGTGATGGAAAGAGGGAGAATGGGGCGGCGTGATGGAAAGCGGGAGAATGGGGCTGGGTGATGGAAAGAGGGAGAATGGGGCGGGGTGATGTAAAGAGGGAGAATGGGGCGGGGTGATGGAAAGCGGGAGATCGCGGCAAGGTGATGTAAAGCGGGAGAACGGGGCGGGGTGATGGAAAGCGGGAGAACGGGTCGGGGTGATGGAAAGCGGGAGAACGGGTCGGGGTGATGGAAAGCGGGAGAACGGGGCGGGGTGATGGAAAGCGGGAGAACGGGGCAGGGTGATGGAAAGGGGGAGAATGGGGCGGGGTGATGGAAAGCGGGAGAATGGGGCGGGGTGATGGAAAGAGGGAAAATAGGGCGGGGTGATGGAAAGAGGGAGAATGGGGCGGGGTGATGGAAAGAGGGAGAAATGGGCTGGGTGATAAATGGAAAGAGGGAGAATAGGGCTGGGTGATGGAAAGAGGGAGAATGGGACCGGGTGATGGAAAGCGGGAGAATGGGGCGGGGTGATGGAAAGTGGGAAAATGGGGCGGGGTGATGGAAAGCGGAAAACTGGGGCGGGGTGATGGAAAGCGGGAGAAGGGGCGGGGTGATGGAAAGAGGGAGAATGGGGCGGGGTGATGGCAAGAGGGAGAATGGTGCGGCATGATGGAAAGAGGGAGAATGGGGCGGGTTGATGTAAAGAGGGAGAATGGGGCGGGGTGATGGAAAGCGGGAGATCGCGGCGGGGTGATGTAAAGCGGGAGAACGGGGCAGGGTGATGGAAAGCGGGAGAACAGGGCGGGGTGATGGAAAGCGGGAGAACGGGTCGGGGTGATGGAAAGCGGGAGAACGGGGCGGGGTGATGGAAAGCGGGAGAACGGGGCGGGGTGATGGAAAGCGAGAGAACGGGGCGGGGTGATGGAAAGGGGGAGAATGGGGCGGTGTGATGGAAAGCGGGAGAATGGGGCGGGGTGATGGAAAGAGGGAAAATAGGGCGGGGTGATGGAAAGAGGGAGAATGGGGCGGGTGATGGAAAGAGGGAGAAATGGGCTGGATGATAAATGGAAAGAGGGAGAATAGGGCGGGGTGATGGAAAGAGGGAGAATGGGACCGGGTGATGGAAAGCGGGAGAATGGGGCGGGGTGATGGAAAGTGGGAAAATGGGGTGGGGTGATGGAAAGCGGGAGAAGGGGCGGGGTGATGGAAAGAGGGAGAATGGGGCGGGGTGATGGAAAGAGGGAGAATGGGGCGGGGTGATGGCAAGAGGGAGAATGGTGCGGGGTGATGGATGGGGCGGGGTGATGGAAAGAGGGACGGTGCGGAGTGATGGAAAGCAGGAGAATGGGGCGAGGTGATGGAATGAGGGAGAATGGGGCGGGGAGATGGAAAGCGGGAGAATGGGGCGGGGTGGAAAGAGGGAGAATGGGGCTGGGTGATGGAAAGAGGGAGAATGAGGCTGGGTGATAAAAAACGGGAGAATGGGGCGGGGTGATGGAAAGCGGGAGAATGGGGCGGGGTGATGGAAAGAGGGAGAATGGGGTAGGGTGATGGAAAGAGGGAGAATAGGGCGGGGTGATGGAAAGCGGGAGAATGGGGCTGGGTGATGGAAAGAGGGAGAATGGGGCGGGGTGATGGAAAGAGGGAGAATGGGGCTGGATGATGGAAAGAGGGAGAATGGGGCGGGGTGATGGAAAGAGGGAGAATTGGGAGGGGTGATGGAAAGAGGGAGAATGGGGAATTACATAGATCCAAAAGGTTAGAACCTGGTAGAGGGGTGGGAAGTGGTATAATGTAAAGGAAAAAGCGAAACATATGTGGCATTCACTCTACTTATACAGAGAAAAAGATGCGAAAGCCGGTTCGGGTAGTATGCACGCATGTGTGCAGGTAAAGTCGGAGCTGGAGCTCTGAAATCTTACAAATTATGTTGATCTAAAAGGTTAGAACCTAGTGTTGTTAAAGTAGATGGCCTAATCTAGTTGACTGACAGGAAAATTGTACTAACCGCATCTCTACAAACATACGTAATGCGCTGGTCAAGTTGGTCCGTATGCGCGCCTGTAGTGCAGGTACCATGCACGACTAGAATGCCTACTTTTGGCGAATTACATAGATCCAAAAGGTTAGAACCTGATAGAGGGGTGGGGAATGGTATACTGTAAAGGATGAGCGTAACATATGTATTATTCACTCTACTTATACAGAGAAAATGATGCGTGAGCCGGTTCGGGGAGTATGCACGCTTGTGTGCAGGTACAAGGCAGAGCAGGAGCTCTGAAACATTGCAAATTATATGGATCTTGAAGGTTGGAACCAGTGTTGTTAAATTAGATGTCCTAATCTAGTGGAATGGCAAGAAAATGGTACTAACCGCATCTCTACAAACATACGTAATGCGCCGGTCAAGTTGGTCGGTATAAGCGTCTGTAGTGCAGGTACCATGCACGACTAGAATGCCTATTTTTGGCGAATTACATAGACCCAAAAGGTTAGAACCTGGTAGAGGGGTGGGAAATGGTATACTGTAAAAGGGAATGCGAAACATATGTGGTATTCACTATATTTATACAGAGAAAATGATACGTGGGTCGGTTCGGGTAGTATGCACGTTTGTGTGCAGGTACAAGGCGGAGCAGGAGCTCTGAAATATTTTAAATTATGTGGATCTAAAAGGTTAGAACCTAGTATTGTTAAAGTAGATGTCCTAATCTAGTGGACTGTCAAGAATATGGTTTCTAATTGCATCTCTACAAACATACGTAATGCGCTAGTCAGTTTGGTCGGTATGCGTGCCTGTTGTGCAGGTACCATGTACGACTAGAATGCCTACGTTTGGCGAATTACATAGGTCCAAAAGGTTAGAACCTATTAGAGGGGTGGGGAATGGTATACTGTAAAGGAAGAGCAAAACATATGTGGTATTCACTGTATCTATACAGAGAGAATGATACGTGGGTCGGTTCGGGTAGTATGCACACTTGTGTGCAGGTACAAGGCGGAGCTGAAGCTCTGAAATATTGCAAATTATGTTGATCTAAAAGGTTAGAACCTAGTGTTTTTAAAGTAGATGTCCTAATCTAGTGGACTGGCAAGAAAATGGTACTAACTGCATCTCGATAAACATACGTAATGCGCTGGTCAGTTTGGTCAGCATGCGTGCCTATAGTGCAGTTACCATGCAATGCCAATATTTGGCAAATTACAGAGACCCAAAAGGTTAGAACCTGGTAAAGGGGTGGGGAATGGTATAATGTAAAGGAAATGCGAAACATATGTGGTATTCACTGTATCTATACAGAGAGAATGATGCGTGGGTCAGTTCGGTCAGTATGCACGCTTGTGAGCAGGTACGAGGCGAAGCTGGAGCTCTGAAATCTTGCAAATTATGTGGATCTAAAAGGCTAGAATCTAGTATTGTTAAAATTGATGTCCTAATCTAGTAGACTAGCAAGAAAATGGTACTAACTGCATCTCTATAAACATACGTAATGCGCAGGTCAGTTTGGTCGGTATGTGTGCCTATTGTGCAGGTACCATGCACGACTGGAATGCCAATATTTGGCAAATTACATAGATCCAAAAGATTAGAACCTGGTGGAGGGGTGGGGAATGGTATAATGTAAAGGAAATATGGAACATATGTGGTATTCACTGTATCTATACAGAGAGAATGATGCGTGGGTCAGTTTGGTCAGTATGCACGCTTGTGTGCAGGTACAAGGCGGAGCTGGAACTCTGAAATCTTGCAAATTATGTGGATCTAAAAGACTAGAACCTAGGATTGTTAAAATAGATTTCCTAATCTAGTGAACTGGCAAGAAAATGGTACTAACTGCATCTCTACAAACATACGTAATGCGCTGGTCAGTTTGGTCGGTATGCGTGCCTATTGTGAAGGTACCATGCACGACTGGAATGCCTATATTTGGCAAATTACATAGATCCAAAAGGTTGTGAGCCGGTTCGGGTAGTATTCACGCTTGTGTGCAGGTACAAGGCGGTGCTGTAGCTCTGAAATCTTGCAAATTATGTGGATCTAAAAGGTTAGAACCTAGTGTTGTAAAAGTAGATGGCCCAACGCAGCAGAGCGTGCTAGCAACGCAGCAGAGCGTGCTAGCAACGCAGCAGAGCGCGTTAGCAACGCAGCCGAGCGTGCTAGCAACGCAGCTGAGCGTGCTAGCAACGCAGCTGAGCGTGCTAGCAACGCAGCAGAGCGTGCTAGCAATGCAGCTGAGCGTGCTAGCAACGCAGCTGAGCGTGCTAGCAACGCAGCAGAGCGTGCTAGCAACGCAGCTGAGCGTGCTAGCAAGCTGAGCGTGCCAGCAACGCAGCTGAGCGTGCTAGCAACGCAGCTGGGCGTGCTAGCAACGCAGATGAGCGTGCTAGCAACGCAGCAGAGCGTGCTAGCAACGCAGCAGATCGTGCTAGCAACGCAGCAGAGCGTGCTAGCAACGCAGCTGAGCAAGCAACGCAGCAGAGCGTGCTAGCAAGGCAGTAGAAAGTGCTAGCAACGCAGCAGAGCCTGCTAGCAACGCAGCAGAGCGTGCTAGCAACGCAGCAGAGCGTGCTAGCAACGCAGCTGAGCGTGCTAGCAACGCAGCAGAGCGTGATAGCAACGCAGCTGAGCGTGACAGCAACGCAGCAGAGTGTGTTAGAAACGCAACAGAGCGTGCTAGCAACGCAGCAGAGCGTGCTAGCAACGCAGCAGAGCGTGCTAGCAACGCGGCTCGTCGTGCTAGCAACGCAGCAGAGCGTGCTAGCAACGCAAATGAGCGTGCTAGCAACGCAGCAGAGCGTGCTAGCAACGCAGCAGAGCGTGCTAGCAACGCAGCAAAGCGTGCTAGCAACGCAGTAGAGCGTGCTAGCAATGCAGCAGAGCGTGCTATTCCCACTTTCCATCAACCCGCCCCATTCTCTCGCTTTCCATCACCCCGCCCCATTCTCCCGCTTTCCATCACCCCGCCCCATTCTACCTATTTCCATCACGCCGCCCTATTCTCCCACTTTCCATCACCCAACCCATTTCTCCCTCTTTCCATCATCGCGCCCCATTCTCCCTCTTTCCATTACCCCGCCCTATTCTTCCTCTTTCCATCACCCCGCCCCGTTCTCCCGCTTTCCATCACCCCGCCCCGTTCTCCCGCTTTCCATCATCCCGCCCCGTTCTCCCGCTTTCCATCACCCCGCCCCGTTCTCCCACTTTCCATCACCCCACCCCGTTCTCCCGCTTTCCATCACCCCGCCCCGTTCTCCCGCTTTCCATCACCCTGCCCCATTCTCCCGTTTTCCATCACCCCGACCCGTTCTCCCGCTTTCCATCACCCCGCCCCGTTCTCCCGCTTTCCATCACCCCGCCCCATTCTCCCTCCTTCCATCACCCCGCCCCATTCTCCCGCTTTCTATCACCCCTCCCCATTCTCCCGCTTTCCATCACCCCGCCCCATTCTCCCGCTTTCCATCACCCCGCCCCATTCTCCCGCTTTCCATCACACCGCCCCATTCTCCCGCTTTCCATCACCCCGCCCCATTCTCCCGCTTTCCATCACCCCGCCCCATTCTCCCGCTTTCCATCACCCCGCCCCGTTCTCCCGCTTTCCATCACCCCGCCCCATTCTCCCGCTTTCCATCACCCCGCCCCGATCTCCCGCTTTCCATTACCCTGCCCCATTCTCCCTCTTTCCATCACCCCGCCCCGTTCTCCCGCTTTCCATCACTCCGCCCCATTCTCCCGCTTTCCATCACCCCGCCCCATTCTCCCGCTTTCTATCACCCCGCCCCATTCTCCCGCTTTCCATCACCCCGCCCCATTCTCCCTCCTTCCATCACCCCGCCCCATTCTCCCGCTTTCCATCACCCCGCCCCATTCTCCCGGGACCAGGCACGCTCTTGGACCAGGCAAGCTCCTGGACCAGGCAAGCTCCTAGACCAGGCAAGCTCCTGGACCAGGCAAGCTCCTGGACCAGGCACGCTCTTGGACCAGGCAAGCTCCTGGACCAGGCAAGCTCCTGGACCAATCAAGCTCCTGGACCAGGCAAGCTCCTGGACAAGGCAAGCTCCTGGACCAGGCAAACTCTTGGTCCAGGCAAGCTCCTGGCCCACGCAAGCTCCTGGACCAGGCAAGCTCCTAGAACAGGCACGCTCCTGGACCAGGCACGCTCCTGGACCAGGCATCCTCCTGGACCAGACACGTTCCTGGACTAGGCACGCTCCTAGACCAGGCACGCTCCTGGACCAGGCAAGCTCCTAGACCAGGCAAGCTCCTGGACCAGGCAAGCTCCTGGACCAGGCACGCTCTTGGTCCAGGCAAGCTCCTGGACCAGGCAAGCTCCTGGACCAGGCAAGCTCCTGGACCAGGCAAGCTCCTGGACCAGGCAAGCTCCTGGAACAGGCAAGCTCCCGGACCAGGCAAGCTCTTGGACCAGGCAAGCTCTTGGACCAGGCATGCTCCTAGACCAGGCAAGCTTTTGGACCAGGCAATCTCCTGGACCAGGCAAGATCCTGGACAAGGCAAGCTCCTGGACCAGGCACGCTCCTGGACCAGGCACGCTCCTGGATCAGGCACGCTCCTGGACCAGGCAAGCTCCTGGACCAGGCAAGCTCCTGGACCAGGCAAGCTCCTGGACCAGGCAAGCCCTGTTCCAGGCAAGCTCCTGGACCAGGCACGCTCCAGGACCCCGCCCCATTCTCCCGCTTTTATCACCCCGCCCCATTCTCCCGCTTTCCATCACCCCGCCCCATTCTCCCGCTTTCCATCACCCCGGCCCATTTTCCCGCTTTCCATCACCCCGCCCCATTCTCCCGCTTTCCATCACCCCGCCCCATTCTCCCGCTTTCCATCACCCCGCCCCATTCTCCCGCTTTCTATCACCCCGCCCCATTCTCCCGCTTTCCATCACCCCGCCCCATTCTCCCGCTTTCCATCACCCCGCCCCATTCTCCTGCTTTCCATCACCCCGGCCCATTTTCCCGCTTTCCATCACCCCGCCCCATTCTCCCGCTTTCCATCACCCCGCCCCATTCTCCCTCCTTCCATCACCCCGCCCCATTCTCCCGCTTTCTATCACCCCTCCCCATTCTCCCGCTTTCCATCACCCCGCCCCATTCTCCCGCTTTCCATCACCCCGCCCCATTCTCCCGCTTTCCATCACACCGCCCCATTCTCCCGCTTTCCATCACCCCGCCCCATTCTCCCTCCTTCCATCACCCCGCCCCATTCTCCCGCTTTCCATCACCCCGCCCCATTCTCCCACTTTCCATCACCCCGCCCCATTCTCCCTCCTTCCATCACCCCGCCCCATTCTCCCTCCTTCCATCATCCCACCCCATTCTCCCGCTTTCCATCACACCGCCCCATTGTCCCGCTTTCCATCACCCCGCCCCATTCTCCCGCTTTCCATCACCCCGCCCCATTCTCCCGCTTTCCATCACCCCGCCCCATTCTACCGCTTTCCATCACCCCGCCCCATTCTCCCGGGACTAGGCACGCTCTTGGACCAGGAAAGCTCCTCGACCAGGCAAGCTCCTAGACCAGGCAAGCTCCTGGACCAGGCAAGCTCCTGGACCAGGCACGCTCTTGGACCAGGCAAGCTCCTGGACCAGGCAAGCTCCTGGACCAGGCAAGCTCCTGGACCAGGCAAGCTCCCGGACCAGGCAAGCTCCTAAACCAGGCAAGCTCCTGGTCCAGGCAAGCTCCTGGTCCACGCAAGCTCCTGGACCAGGCAAGCTCCTAGAACAGGCACGCTCCTGGACCAGGCACGCTCTTGGTCCAGGCAAGCTCCTGGACCAGGCAAGCTCCTGGACCAGGCAAGCTCCTGGACCAGGCAAGCTCCTGTACCAGGCAAGCTCCTGGACCAGGCAAGCTCCCGGACCAGGCAAGCTCCTAAACCAGGCAAGCTCCTGGTCCAGGCAAGCTCCTGGTCCACGCAAGCTCCTGGACCAGGCAAGCTCCTAGAACAGGCACGCTCCTGGACCAGGCACGCTCCTGGACAAGGCATCCTCCTGGACCAGACACGTTCCTGGACTAGGCACGCTCCTAGACCAGGCACGCTCCTGGACCAGGCAAGCTCCTAGACCAGGCAAGCTCCTGGACCAGGCAAGCTCCTGGACCAGGCACGCTCTTGGTCCAGGCAAGCTCCTGGACCAGGCAAGCTCCTAGACCAGGCAAGCTCCTGGACCAGGCAAGCTCCTGTACCAGGCAAGCTCCCGGACCAGGCAAGCTCTTGGACCAGGCAAGCTCTTGGACCAGGCAAGCTCCTGTTCCAGGCAAGCTCCTGGACCAGGCAAGCTCCTGTTCCAGGCAAGCTCCTGGACCAGGCACGCTCCTGGACCAGGCAAGCTCCCATTCTCCCGCTTTCCATCACCCCGCCCCATTCTCCCGCTTTCCATCACACCGCCCCATTCTCCCGCTTTCCATCACCCCGCCCCATTCTCCCTCCTTCCATCACCCCGCCCCATTCTCCCGCTTTCCATCACCCCGCCCCATTCTCCCACTTTCCATCACCCCGCCCCATTCTCCCTCCTTCCATCACCCCGCCCCATTCTCCCTCCTTCCATCATCCCACCCCATTCTCCCGCTTTCCATCACACCGCCCCATTGTCCCGCTTTCCATCACCCCGCCCCATTCTCCCGCTTTCCATCACCCCGCCCCATTCTCCCGCTTTCCATCACCCCGCCCCATTCTACCGCTTTCCATCACCCCGCCCCATTCTCCCGGGACTAGGCACGCTCTTGGACCAGGAAAGCTCCTCGACCAGGCAAGCTCCTAGACCAGGCAAGCTCCTGGACCAGGCAAGCTCCTGGACCAGGCACGCTCTTGGACCAGGCAAGCTCCTGGACCAGGCAAGCTCCTGGACCAGGCAAGCTCCTGGACCAGGCAAGCTCCCGGACCAGGCAAGCTCCTAAACCAGGCAAGCTCCTGGTCCAGGCAAGCTCCTGGTCCACGCAAGCTCCTGGACCAGGCAAGCTCCTAGAACAGGCACGCTCCTGGACCAGGCACGCTCTTGGTCCATGCAAGCTCCTGGACCAGGCAAGCTCCTGGACCAGGCAAGCTCCTGGACCAGGCAAGCTCCTGTACCAGGCAAGCTCCTGGACCAGGCAAGCTCCCGGACCAGGCAAGCTCCTAAACCAGGCAAGCTCCTGGTCCAGGCAAGCTCCTGGTCCACGCAAGCTCCTGGACCAGGCAAGCTCCTAGAACAGGCACGCTCCTGGACCAGGCACGCTCCTGGACAAGGCATCCTCCTGGACCAGACACGTTCCTGGACTAGGCACGCTCCTAGACCAGGCACGCTCCTGGACCAGGCAAGCTCCTAGACCAGGCAAGCTCCTGGACCAGGCAAGCTCCTGGACCAGGCACGCTCTTGGTCCAGGCAAGCTCCTGGACCAGGCAAGCTCCTGGACCAGGCAAGCTCCTGGACCAGGCAAGCTCCTGGACCAGGCAAGCTCCTGTACCAGGCAAGCTCCCGGACCAGGCAAGCTCTTGGACCAGGCAAGCTCTTGGACCAGGCAAGCTCCTGTTCCAGGCAAGCTCCTGGACCAGGCAAGCTCCTGTTCCAGGCAAGCTCCTGGACCAGGCACGCTCCTGGACCAGGCAAGCTCCCATTCTCCCGCTTTCTATCACCCCGCCCCATTCTCCCGCTTTCCATCACCCCGCCCCATTCTCCCGCTTTCCATCACCCCGCCCCATTCTCCCGCTTTCCATCACCCCGCCCCATTCTCCCGCTTTCCATCACCCCGCCCCATTCTCCCTCCTTCCATCACCCCGCCCCATTCTCCCGCTTTCCATCACCCCGCCCCATTCTCCCGCTTTCCATCACCCTGCCCCATTCTCCCTCCTTCCATCACCCCGCCCCATTCTCCCTCCTTCCATCATCCCACCCCATTCTCCCGCTTTCCATCACACCGCCCCATTGTCCCGCTTTCCATCACCCCGCCCCATTCTCCCGCTTTCCATCACCCCGCCCCATTCTCCCGCTTTCCATCACCCCGCCCCATTCTACCGCTTTCCATCACCTCGCCCCATTCTCCCTCCTTCCATCACCCCGCCCCATTCTCCCGCTTTCCATCACCCCGCCCCATTCTCCCGGGACTAGGCACGCTCTTGGACCAGGAAAGCTCCTGGACCAGGCAAGCTCCTAGACCAGGCAAGCTCCTGGACCAGGCAAGCTACTGGACCAGGCACGCTCTTGGACCAGGCAAGCTCCTGGACCAGGCAAGCTCCTGGACCAGGCAAGCTCCCGGACCAGGCAAGCTCCTAAACCAGGCAAGCTCCTGGTCCAGGCAAGCTCCTGGTCCACGCAAGCTCCTGGACCAGGCAAGCTCCTAGAACAGGCACGCTCCTGGACCAGGCACGCTCCTGGACAAGGCATCCTCCTGGACCAGACACGTTCCTGGACTAGGCACGCTCCTAGACTAGGCACGCTCCTGGACCAGGCAAGCTCCTAGACCAGGCAAGCTCCTGGACCAGGCAAGCTCCTGGACCAGGCACGCTCTTGGTCCAGGCAAGCTCCTGGACCAGGCAAGCTCCTGGACCAGGCAAGCTCCTAGACCAGGCAAGCTCCTGGACCAGGCAAGCTCCTGGACCAGGCACGCTCTTGGACCAGGCAAGCTCCTGGACCAGGCAAGCTCCTGTACCAGGCAAGCTCCTGGACCAGGCAAGCTCCCGGACCAGGCAAGCTCCTAAACCAGGCAAGCTCCTGGTCCAGGCAAGCTCCTGGTCCACGCAAGCTCCTGGACCAGGCAAGCTCCTAGAACAGGCACGCTCCTGGACCAGGCACGCTCCTGGACAAGGCATCCTCCTGGACCAGACACGTTCCTGGACTAGGCACGCTCCTAGACCAGGCACGCTCCTGGACCAGGCAAGCTCCTAGACCAGGCAAGCTCCTGGACCAGGCAAGCTCCTGGACCAGGCACGCTCTTGGTCCAGGCAAGCTCCTGGACCAGGCAAGCTCCTGGACCAGGCAAGCTCCTGGACCAGGCAAGCTCCTGTACCAGGCAAGCTCCCGGACCAGGCAAGCTCTTGGACCAGGCAAGCTCTTGGACCAGGCAAGCTCCTGTTCCAGGCAAGCTCCTGGACCAGGCAAGCTCCTGTTCCAGGCAAGCTCCTGGACCAGGCACGCTCCTGGACCAGGCAAGCTCCCATTCTCCCGCTTTCCATCACCCCGCCCCATTCTCCCGCTTTCCATCACACCGCCCCATTCTCCCGCTTTCCATCACCCCGCCCCATTCTCCCTCCTTCCATCACCCCGCCCCATTCTCCCGCTTTCCATCACCCCGCCCCATTCTCCCACTTTCCATCACCCCGCCCCATTCTCCCTCCTTCCATCACCCCGCCCCATTCTCCCTCCTTCCATCATCCCACCCCATTCTCCCGCTTTCCATCACACCGCCCCATTGTCCCGCTTTCCATCACCCCGCCCCATTCTCCCGCTTTCCATCACCCCGCCCCATTCTCCCGCTTTCCATCACCCCGCCCCATTCTACCGCTTTCCATCACCCCGCCCCATTCTCCCGGGACTAGGCACGCTCTTGGACCAGGAAAGCTCCTCGACCAGGCAAGCTCCTAGACCAGGCAAGCTCCTGGACCAGGCAAGCTCCTGGACCAGGCACGCTCTTGGACCAGGCAAGCTCCTGGACCAGGCAAGCTCCTGGACCAGGCAAGCTCCTGGACCAGGCAAGCTCCCGGACCAGGCAAGCTCCTAAACCAGGCAAGCTCCTGGTCCAGGCAAGCTCCTGGTCCACGCAAGCTCCTGGACCAGGCAAGCTCCTAGAACAGGCACGCTCCTGGACCAGGCACGCTCTTGGTCCATGCAAGCTCCTGGACCAGGCAAGCTCCTGGACCAGGCAAGCTCCTGGACCAGGCAAGCTCCTGTACCAGGCAAGCTCCTGGACCAGGCAAGCTCCCGGACCAGGCAAGCTCCTAAACCAGGCAAGCTCCTGGTCCAGGCAAGCTCCTGGTCCACGCAAGCTCCTGGACCAGGCAAGCTCCTAGAACAGGCACGCTCCTGGACCAGGCACGCTCCTGGACAAGGCATCCTCCTGGACCAGACACGTTCCTGGACTAGGCACGCTCCTAGACCAGGCACGCTCCTGGACCAGGCAAGCTCCTAGACCAGGCAAGCTCCTGGACCAGGCAAGCTCCTGGACCAGGCACGCTCTTGGTCCAGGCAAGCTCCTGGACCAGGCAAGCTCCTGGACCAGGCAAGCTCCTGGACCAGGCAAGCTCCTGGACCAGGCAAGCTCCTGTACCAGGCAAGCTCCCGGACCAGGCAAGCTCTTGGACCAGGCAAGCTCTTGGACCAGGCAAGCTCCTGTTCCAGGCAAGCTCCTGGACCAGGCAAGCTCCTGTTCCAGGCAAGCTCCTGGACCAGGCACGCTCCTGGACCAGGCAAGCTCCCATTCTCCCGCTTTCTATCACCCCGCCCCATTCTCCCGCTTTCCATCACCCCGCCCCATTCTCCCGCTTTCCATCACCCCGCCCCATT